TTGAATTGTGACTCAAGGTTCAGTGTGAAATGTGTGTTGAATTTAGATTTAAATCATTAAGAAAGTGTAAATAAAGTATAAAAAATTAAATGGTCTTAGTCAATCGAACATAGGCCTATTTTGTATTCTTAGCTGTCACTAAATTATTTTGGCCACATTATGTAAGGGATAATCATTGAGGGGCTATGCATTCTATAGAAAATAATGAATGACGTGCTAGCTGAGTGGAACTGACCTTCCATGGAGTTGCATTATTTTCCAGAGATCGCATAGAGCCCCAAGTTGATTATCCCTTTTATACCATGGCTATAATTTAACACATTTGCCACTAGAAAATTGTTCATTTGCCGGTAGAAATGTGTTCAACATACACTGAAGTTGCTAGCAAGTTTACTAGATAGCTACAGTAGTTGCTGTGGTAACCAAACAAACAGACTTGCTAGTTTAGCTAACCAAACCATCAGTCCTAGCTTGCTATTATTGCTAAACTAACATGCATATACAGTTGAAGTCGGAAGTTCACATACACCTTAGCCAAATACATTTAAACTCAGTTTTTCACAATTCCTGACATTTAATCCTAAAAATTCCCTGTCTTAGGTCAGTTAGGATCACCACTTTATTTTAAGAATGTGAAATGTCAGAATAATAGTAGAGAGAATGATTTATTTCACATTCCCAGTGGGTCAGAAGTTTACATACACTCAATTAGTATTATTGTAGCATTGCCTTTAAATTGTTTAACTTGGGTCAAACGTTTCGGGTAGCCTTCCACAAGCTTCCCACAATAAGTTGGGTTAATTTTGGCCCATTCCTCCTGACAGACCTTGTGTAACTGAGTCAGGTTTGTAGGCCTCCTTGCTCGCACACACTTTTTCAGTTCTGTCCACAAATGTTCTATAGGATTGAGGTCAGGGCTTTGTGATGGCCACTTTGTTGTCCTTAAGCCATTTTGTCACAACTTTGGAAGTATACTTGGGGTCATTGTCCATTTGGAAGACCCATTTGCGACCAAGCTTTAACTTCCTGACTGATGTCTTGAGATGTTGCTTCAATATATCCACATAATTTTCCTTCCTCATGATGCCATCTATTTTGTGAAGTGCACCAGTCCCTCCTGCAGCAAAGCACCCCCACAGCATGATGCTGCCACCCCCGTGCTTCACGGTTGGGATGGTGTTCTTCGGCTTGCAAGCAATCCCCTTTCTCCTACAAACATTACGATGGTCATTATGGCCAAACAGTTCTATTTTTGTTTCGTCAGACCAAAGTACATTTCTCCAAAAATTAAGATCTTTGTCCCCATGTACAGTTTCAAACCGTAGTCTGGCTTTTTTATGGTGGTTTTGGAGCAGTGGCTTCTTCCTTGCCTTTCAGGTTATGTCGATATAGGACTCGGTTTACTGTGGATATAGATACTTTTGTACCTGTTTCCTCCAGCATCTTCACAAGGTCCTTTGCTGTTGTTCTGGGATTGAGTTTCACTTTTAGCACCAAAGTACGTTCATCTCTAGGAGAAAGAACGCGTCTCCTTCCTGAGCGGTATGACGGCTGCGTGGTCCCATGGTGTTTATACGTGCATACTATTGTTTGTACAGATGAACGTGGTACCTTCAGGCGTTTGGAAATTGCTCCGAAGGATGAACTAAACTTGTGGAGGTATACGATTTTTTTTCTGAGGTCTTGGCTGATTTCTTTTCATTTTCCCATGATGTCAAGCAAAGAGGCACTGAGTTTGAAGATAGGCCTTGAAATACATCCACAGGTACACCTCCAATTGACTCAAATGATGTCAATTAGCCTTTCAGAAGCTTCTAAAGCCATGACATCATTTTCTGGAATTTTCCAAGCTGTTTAAAGGCACGGTCAACTTGTAAACTGTATGTATGTAAACGTCTGACCCACTGGAATTGTGATACAGTGAATTATAAGTGAAATAACCTGTCTGTAAACAATTGTTGGAAAAATTACTTGTGTCATGCACAAAGTAGATGTCCTAACCGACTTGCCAAAACTAAAGTTTGTTAACAAGAAATGTGTGGAATGGTTGAAAAATTAGTTTTATTGACTCCAACCTAACTGTATGTAAACTTCCGACTTCAACTGTATTCTCAAATTAAAAACATGCTTTCATACTGTAAAAGAACAGTAGTCCTAGACTAAATTATTTATTTATACCCAGAAACATGGTGACTAGTTTTGATTGAATGGTCCCCTTGGTTTGTGTCCTATGTTCCCATTACCTTAAGTCATTTCCCCCTGGTGTGAACAATTACAGCAGAGGAAAGGAAAGGTTAGACAATTTATTATCTGTGGGCTATCTTCCTCCCAGGTTAAACACTTGAAAATATTCATTGAAGTTTCAAGCAGGCTTTTTAATCAGGGCTCATTCCGTTTGATGCATCTCTGTGGGGAGGATGGTGCTGAGGATTCTACAGCCCAGCTGGAGAACAGAACAGGGGACCTATGGGAGAATAATCACACTGACTACAATAATATGATAAAAACACATTCAGCTAAAGCATTCACGCTCATTAAAATATTCACAGTGGAAACCGTCATCAGTATTTTCTAACGGTGTCCATCACTTACTGTAGGTGTGTATTCGGCTAATAAATGGGAAAAGGCAGATGATTAATCTCAAACAAACAGGGCCATTGTACATAACATCAATGATATATCCAACTCACAGAGGCACAGTCCTCCCCGGTCATCTTGTGCATACATTATGAATTCACAACAGTCTCAAGCATGCTAATAAGCTATGTCATACCCAAAAGGCTATTCCTCTCCATGCATATATTACAGTAGACACATAACACTTTCCCCCAGGCCAGACTGTCTAATCATAATCTCTGTAATAAGCAGGGTTGTGGTCAATTCGGAATTTCTGTATTTAATTGCATTCAAACCATTAATTTGAATTGGCCACACCCCACAGGAAGCAGAATTTGAGTTGTATTTTAATTCAAGGAAGTAGAATTGAATTCAAAACAATTTTTATTTTATTTTATTTATTTAACCAGGTAAGCCAGTTGAGAACAAGTTCTCATTTACACCTGCGACCTGGCCAAGATAAAGCAAATTTAAATCAATTTAACTGAGACATGAAAGTCTCATTCATTTTAGAAATATTTTATCAAAAGGATATGCCACTTATTAACGCAAAGAATACACAACCATTTCAAATCTTAGTTTGATTATAACTCAAACTGTATTTTTCTTTGTCATGAGATGTTAGATTTTTCCTTTCTATACTGCAGTGTTTGATCTAATGCATTCTGGGAAATGTTTTTATTTTCTTCTCATATTTAAAAACATTAAGGGAATAATGAATTATTATAGACAACCCACAACATGATCTTAGTTAGAATATTTCCAGACCACTGTAATTACTTAAAATAGTTTTAGGAGAGTGAGTTTTAAAAATGAAATGTTTCAACCTAATGCTACATGGTATTGGTAACCATACATTATGTCAAAATAAACATTTATTTGGTGATGAGGAGAATAAGCCATTTTAATTAAATACATTTTTTATTTAATTCGAATTCAATTCAAATTCTGCTTCCTGTGGGGTGTGGCCAATTCAAATTCAAGAATTGAATTGGAATTAAAGAGCAATTCGCAACTCAGTTCTGAAATGAGTCCCGGGAGGATTCTAACTAATGATGATAGTTCAGTATAGTTGACACACACAAGGTAAGACGAGTTAACAGTAGAATATAAAGTATTGTTCAAATGGAAAGAGATTCCCCTCTGCACTGTGTTGTTCCTGGTGATAGTGGGGAGCTGGCCAGTCGGACCATGTTACCCTTGCTGCTAGGAGCTTGTGAGATGAGACCAAACAAACTTTAAACCCTCTGCCCACCCAAGGGACCTGCTCCCTGGACACTCAGATGCGGCTGACACCCGTGGACAGACCATGGACATGATGCATTCACAACCCACTGTTGTGTGACCGACTGCCAATGTCACACTTCTACTGTGGGCCCTGTGTAGCTCACTTGGTAGAGCATGGCGCTTGCAACGGCAGGGTTGTGGGTTCGTTTCCCACGGGGGCCAGTATGAAAAAAGTATGAAAATGTATGCACTCACTAACTGTAAGTCACTCTGGATAAGAGTGTCTGCTAAAATGTAAATGTATAATGAAAATCGAATTCAACAAAACCAATACTGTTTTTAATTAGGCTTTTGCTTTCAAAAGCAGCTCAAACTAAACATGAACTATTGCCATTGAATTATGCAGTCCAAATATACAGTGCGTTATTTAAGCAATAAGGCCAGAGGGGTTGTGGTATATGGCCAATATACCACAGCTAAGGGCTATTCTTATGCATGACGCAACGCGGAGTGCCTGGATACAGCCCTTAGCCGTGGTATATTGGCCATATACCACAAACCCCAGAGGTGCCTTATTGCTATTATAAACTGGTTACCAATGTAATTAGAGCAGTAAAAATATATGTTTAGTCATACCTGTGGTATACCACGGCTGTCAGACAATCAGCATTCAGGGTTTTAACCACCCAGTTTATAAAGGGAAATAATGCACACTCTAGAAGCCAATCAGAAAGGAATATTCAACAATGTCATGGTATAAGTATGTGTAATGATGACATATTGTGTTTTCGACAACTAGTAACCCATGGTTTAACCAGGGGTGTAATCTTTACAACGATTCTGTTGCAAAACGTTTCTTCCGTTTTGCAACAGAAACAATATACTCCAAATGGAACATGCAAACGAGAGTTTCTATTGGACAAATTCAGTTAGGTCCCTCCCCGTTTCGAAACGTTTGCTCTGTTTGCTTCCGTTTGGTTCTTAAACATTAAACGGTTTCCGTAATGAATACACCCCTGCTTGCAAGTATTTTCCAACTTTCGAGTAACCCCCTTCCCTTCCTCGCCTCCGGGTGGGTTGTTCTACAACCCGGCTGCGTCATCTTTGTGGAGGGAGGTTCCCCAGTGTTTATAGGCTCGCCTGAACGGCCGAGTGGGGAGAGAGATAGAGCGCAATAACTTAGCTCACTGGAGGACCGCTTTATATACCGGAGCTAAATTTACCATCATCCTGAACGTATTTCCTCGGCTGCGCTCAATTGGTCCAGCTACTCGGCTACCATAGTTATAAGCTTGGAGAACCTCCTACTACCATTCAAACTTGCTCATGTCTTTGAAGCGCAACTTTGGAAGAGCAACAGTTAGATAGAACGCACTGATTCTGGTGAAAGGTGAGCGCAAAAGGGCACTCACTTTGACAAAAACGAACGTGTCACCTTTTTAAAAATGTTTTTATCCGGGGTGATTTTGCCATCCATCTCGACATTTTCAAACCAAACCAAAAGTTGTGAACATGTAAGTAAGACTACAGACCTAAAAGTGTTATGTTCATAGCCTTCTGTTGGAGATTCAGCTCTGTGTTGTATGTCTAATGCCCTATTCCTCTTGGTTGTTGCAGAAGTGGAAAAGCGAGATGGACAAACCCATTTCTTCCAGCTGCTCCGTGCTTGATATGGTACAGAACATGGACTGTCGCAGTATCGGGAGAAAGGACGACGGGGACCTTTGTAATTACTTAGATCTGGATTTTATTCTGGCCAACACCACTGGCTCAGACAGCATGGCTACCGCTGCGCTGGGAGCAGGTGTAGCGGAGTATTACATGTCCTCGGCGGATCAGCCAGACAACCCGTTCACCACCGAGAGCCCCATGCCATCCTACCTGTCCAGTGAGCACAACTCCCCGCCTCCTACCTACAGCACCAGCCTGATGGCGGAGCTTCTCAGGTACGAGGGGGAGAACAACTACGTAATTGGTATTACGCGCAACACCTCTAGCACCCAGGGAAGGTTGTATGTCAACTCTGCGCCGTTTCCCAGACAGGACATGTTAGATAACATCAAAGTGGAGCCGTCCATGGACGGTTATGGACCTGTTATGGGCATGGTTCCCCAGAGTTGTCCAAAAATCAAGCAAGAGGGCAACGTGTCGTGCATGATGTCCTTCGAGCAGCCGAAAGTAGCCATCTCCCCGCCGGCAGCCAGCAACATGACGCCGCCGCTCAGCCCCAACGATCAGGGGAGCTCCGAGTGCCACCAGCAGCCCCCGATGTGTCACTCCATGAGCTTCCCACAGAACTACCACTCCTCAGCGGCGTACCCACACCACCACCCCGGGGCGGCTCAAGCCACCCAGATGCAGCTTGGACCATACCAAGGCGCTCACCAGTTCGGCGTGTACGAGGAGGGACTCAGCATGCAGCCGAACACACAGAGGGTACTGCTGACGCCCCCGTCCTCTCCGCTGGAGCTGCTGGAGACCAAACCAAAGAGAGGTCGCCGCAACTGGCCACGGAAGCGCACGGCGACGCACACCTGCACATTCGCTGGGTGCGGAAAGACCTACACCAAGAGCTCGCATCTGAAGGCGCATCACAGAACGCACACTGGTAAGATAGATATCTTTGTTTGTTTTTTTAGCACATTATGCACCATAACATGTAACATTACACACTATTACGCGTGACCGTATAATATTACAGGGCCATATTATTGGTGAATAAATGTAGGCCTAGTTGCTTGTTTATACTCAAGAGAGCTTATGCTGATGTTTCTTTTGTTCTGTCTCCTCAGGTGAAAAGCCATACCATTGCAGCTGGGAAGGTTGCGGCTGGAAATTCGCTCGCTCCGACGAACTGACCCGCCATTTCCGCAAACATACCGGTCACCGGCCCTTCCAGTGCCACCTGTGTGATCGCGCCTTCTCCCGGTCCGACCACCTCGCGCTTCACATGAAGAGACATATGTGATGTGATGTACACGAGGACTGATTGGGGGTTATTAAGGAGTGTCCTTCATGCCTATTTTGATTAGGCCTATCTGTCTTTTATTTAAAATATTTAAACATGCCATTTTTTTTTATACATATATATATATATTGAAAAAAAATGTTTAGTGTTATTATTTTGTAATAACGTAGCTGGTACTACCTTGGTTATATTTGTTATATTAAAGCTTTAGAACGCTTAATAGGGTGTTTGTTTTTGAGTAAACAGTCCTATGTGGGGCTGGCCCTGTACTTCTTCTCTTTCCATTACAAAACTGGAGTGCTGTGTTTGACACAAGTGCCTTTCTATTATGCTGACTGTGTGCTACTGTAAACACTGTCTATGGCAGAACTACAAGGCCACCAAAATAACAAGACAAGTTTACTTAGTCTGCTATGAGTGAAAGACAATGTTTTGTTATTTAAACTGCCTGAATGTTTTTTTTTGGATGGCCCAAATACTGTAGCTTGCCTTACACTCAACTGTGTTCTGTTTTCATGGAAATCGTACACTTTTGGTTGAAATTGTATGGTTTGAGTGCAAACAGATGGGTCCAGACCCTTTGTACACTACCAGGGCTGGATGTCCTGTGTATGATTATTTTTTACAGAAGTGTATATGAATTGTATACTGTAAATTGTTTATGTATTGTAAATGTTACAATACATTTAAATATATTCTTGATTTGTATTACACGCTTGATTGATATCTCAATGTGTGCAATCATGCATTTAGCCGCATAGTCACCAAAGATGTTCCTTTTTTTTAGAAGGTTGTTCACACATTATACTATAGCTTAGTGAAACACATCCACCCCATAATATGGGCTTTATATTTAGACTGTAAATAGATGCTGAAGAACAGACCTAAGATCCTACAGACAACCTATTACACAATCCATTAGACTATAAGCGTATACACACTGCTACTCTATATACCCCCTCTCAACCTCGAAGACTTGGTTAAATTGAAACAATTATTTTTTCCAGCTGTTAGTCAGACAAGGCCAGCCTCTTGTGGGCTAAGCCTATAAATACAAACATTACATTTCCATAATTACAGAGAGGGAGAGAGAGACTGGCTGGGCAGACATCTGGACAGGACAAGACAGGGGGCACAGCACAACACAGCAGTCCCAAATGGCACTATATTTCCTACAAAGTATATATTTCTTTATGGAATAGGGTGCCATTTGGGACGCATATGTTTCTGATGGCTAAATTATACATGGACATCAAAGGGTCTTATGATAAACTAATACTGAAATTATACATTTGGGGCAGGTTTCCAGGACTGAGATTAAGTCTCCTGGACTAAAACACACTTTCAATGGAGATTCTCCATTGAGCATGGTGTTTAACTCAGGACTAGGCTTAATCTGTGTCTGGGAAACTGGTCCATGGAGTAGTAGATCACAGTTGAAAACATTCTTGGCGGATAAAGATAATATATTATGAGTGTAGTTCCATTTATAAAACATTTGACGTTGACAGAGTTTGCTGGCGTGAACTTAACTGTGGACTTTACTAAAAGAAGCCAAAGACAGAAAGAGGATAAAATGAGACAAATGAAGAGACTAAAATACAGTTTATCACACTCATAGAGCTGAGGTCACACAAGTTTGGCAGAAATACAGTTGGTTTCAGTTGCTATAAAAGTTAAATGAGCTCCAATAAAACCACATCTCCCATTATAAGTGGCACCACTCTGTCCCTGAAGGAGACACATTTTAATACAACCCACTATGCTGATTAAGCAAAGAAAAATATACGGTACTATACAGGATAGGTAGGAAGAGACAGCTGCACCTAGTACCTCTCACTCAATACCTCTGCATTTACATTGTGTATATGTCTCATACACTGTATTTACATACAGTAGGTTGTTAAATTCAACGTTATTTTCAATTTTTTCTATTAAGTCAGTTTTGGAGAGGATTTTACAATTTGCAGAAGACCAAGGCCCATCATAGTATTTTAGTTCAATCAGCCAACATCTTGTTAGAATACATCTCAAGTAAAAAAATAAAAAAAAAGACAACAGAAGTAAAAACCTGGCTAAAAATAACTAATTGAGCAGCGAAATGCAAATCTAACATTCTCATTTCACTTTTCTGTTCATGTGAAAGTTACTTTTACTACAGAGTGAGAGTGAGAGCGAGAGAGGGTGGAGAGAGAGGGGGAGAGAGAGGGGGGAGAGAGGGAGAAAGAGAGTGTGTGTAGACCCGAGACATTTTCTGGAATGTTACATGAATTTTATTTATATTAAATTATATTAAGAGGATTACAATTATTTTGAGAAAAATCCCAAACCTTGAAGGAATATTTATAATCATATACATTATATATTGTTACACATGAAATTAGTCATTTTGGTTGTGGATAAATAAGACATTGTAGTACATTTATTACATATTCATGTACATTACTTTTGCATTTGTGTGACCAATACAATGCACCTTCTGGCCAACACTGGAGAAAGGGGCTGCAGCACATAGTTAGTTGAATAACACACATTGTGGATTGGTCCCAAATGGCACCCTATTCCCTATATAGTGCACTACTTTTAACCAGGGCCCATAGGGAATAGGGTGCCATTTGAGACATAATATAAGAGTTCCTTGAATAAACACACACACACACTGTATGTGCCAAATAACCCTCATTGTCAGTGAATATAACAAAACAATTTTACATGGATGCATTATAAGGCATTAGGACCCCACATACTCGCACCAGGTAGTGGCCATGATCAAAATGAGTTATAACTGAGTGTGGTGCTTATGAGTGTTGCAAGGCAGGATTCATATAACTGTGACCTGGGTCACATTCATTACTGCACAAATTAGCTAAATGTTTTGCAACGGAAAACGATTGTTTCTTATTGGGTAAGTTTAGGTAGTTCCTCCCTGTTTCAATCCGTTTTCTTCTGTTTGGTGCCTACTCAATACAATCCAGCTGCAAATGGAAGGCTATTGCATGCTAAAGCAAAGTGAAGGGAAGACATGAACGTTGCATGTGGTGTCGGTCTGCAAGGAATTACTAACTACAATATGATGATGTAACAGACATCCATATGAATTCGATTTTGTCCTTTCAGTTTGGGAAGACTTGCATTATTCTTTCATTTCCATTCATACAACATTAAAGAAAACGGATGCCATCACTATTTCCTGGTAAGCTATTCTTCTGGTAGTTTGATGACACTTTGCAATAATATTGATAATAATACAAATGTTGCATTCCTTCAATTAAAAAATAAGGGCAAAAAATAGAATTAAAGTAATTAAAAACAGTTGTTTTAAGTGGTTAAACCTATGCTGTACTAATAAACCCACATAACTTAAAAAGGAGTATATATAACTTGTTAGATGAAACTGTAGGAAAACAAAAACGCCCTACTAGTTGAATACATCCTCCACAGATGAACCAAAGAAACACTTCAAATCAGCCTACTAAATGCATAATAGAGTTTAGCACGAAGAAATCAAAAAGGAAATCCACATCACTCAAAATGTTCTTGAAGCTCTGGTGACAGAGGGTGGTCCCTTATCCTTCAAGGCAGATGAGGTGGGTTTTGACCTTGTCATTCTTCTGTTACAATAAAATGGTGTAAGGCAATGAAGTAGAAAACCCCAAGATTAACAAATAAACAATATTTGTCATTCCACAATCTAAAAAGGTGGTGATTTTCTCACCAAAACCAGAATTGCACCAGAAATAAGGAACCCAAACATGCTTGATGGCGTAGCAGTGCGGTCGCTTTTATTTCATCGTCCTGTGTAAATATCCCGTTTCTTGTTTTTTTTGTCTATTTTGTATATATTTCTCAATTTTTACTTTCATTCTTTAACTAAATATACTTTCCTGCAACCCGCCTCACCCAACGTGGAAAGGATTCTATTATTTCTTTATAACTTTCATCAAGAACCTTAAGCTGAAACGTGTGTAACGCAATCTGAATTGGCTACCCGTGGCCTACACCATCCACCAGCAAGCTCTAGCTCTAGCCTGGACAATTCGTCGGCCAGTCTGCACAGCGTGCTATCGACCCAGCGTGCTATCGACCCAGAGCTTATTGGACTTTCTGCCGGAATCACTGGACCCTAGCGCCGGATCATCACAACCAGCTAGCTAGCTGAGTGTAGCTGCAATCTGAGTGTAGCCGCAATCTGAATTGGCTACCTGCTATTAGTTACCCGTTAGCGTCTTCACCACTGTCCGTGGCCTACACTATCCACCAGCCAGCTCTAGCTCTAGCCTGGACAATTCGTCGGCCAGTCTGCACAGCGTGCTATCGACCCAGCGTGCTATCGACCCAGAGCTTATTGGACTTTCTGCCAGAATCACTGGACCCTAGCACCGGATCATCACAACCAGCTAGCTAGCTGCAACCTGTTGTTGGCTGATTACCATTGCCCTATAGCAAGCACCAGTTAGCCTTGAGCTAGCCTCAGGCCCATTCTCCCGGCTATCTACCTCTTTGTCAACCGGACGGGACCTCCTAGTGTTGACACTGAGCCCCGCCGATCCAACACGACTGGTTTGCCGACGAAATAGTCTGATGTGGTTTCAACAGGCTTCCCGTTGCGACGACCACGAAGATCCATCTGCAAGCCCCGGCCCGCTAGCACACGCAAACTACAACTGTGCTCCCTGCTAGCTGTGCTGAAGCACCAATTTGAACTGCTCTCGGACTCACATATTGCTGTTCACTGGACCTTATGATCACTCAGCTGCACAGCTGATGCCTGCTGGACTGTTCCTTTACACGGTACCCTGTCCTGTTTATTCTGTTTAGTCTTAGCCCAAACGTTATCGCTATTTCCAGTTGTGTCTTAGCTCTCTCTAAATAACACCTGTGACTGCTTTATGCCTCTCTCCCATGTCAATTATGCCTTGCCTATTGCTGTTTGGGTTAGTTCTTATTATACAATTTCAATGTAGAACCCCTAGTCCCTCTCAAACTACCTCATATAGTTC